CCACAGAGACACCTTAAAATGTCCAAGCAAAACCCAATCTCCTTGCCCAAAATGAAAGGGAGTCAAAAATATTTAGTATTCCAAGATGTGGTGGTGCTTCTGAGGCCTTGTGGCTGATACTGCAGGAAATGCCAGTGCAGAGGATTAAGAGGCAGGAAGAGCTCTTTTTAGCAGTTTCCCAGTTCCATTTGCTGCCTGTTTTTTTCCATTTAACCCTTCTCCCATTGCCATTTTCCCTTCCCAGTGCTACAAGGACCTCGGGAACGCCTCGGCGGCGGTGCTGTGGATGGACCTCGCTTCGGAGCTGCAAGGGAACACCAAAGAGGTAACGCTCAGCTGGGAGCAAAAATGGGTCCTGCCCCTCTGCTCCGCTCCCCTGAGATCCCAGCTGGATCACTGCACCCACAGGGAGGACAGGGAGCAAATCCAGAGGAGGGACAAATTGGTTGGGAGGGATGGGGCACCTCTGCCATGAGGAAAGGCTGAGAGGATTGGGATTGTTTAGCCTGGAATAAAGAAGCTTCGTGATGCCCTAATTGAGGCCTTCCAGTGACAGGAAAGGTGGAGAGAGACAGTTTTACAAGGGTCTGGAATGACAGGAAAAGGGGGAGTGGCTTCAGACTGAAAGAGATTATGCTTGGATCAGGTATTAGGAAGAAATCCTTCCCTGTGAGGGTGCTGAGGCACAGGTTTCCCAGAGAACCATGGCTGCCCCATCCCTGGAAGTGTCCAAGGCCGGACTTGGAGCAACCTGGGCTTGTGAACGGAGTCCCTGCCCAGGAACTGGATGAGCTTTAAGGTCCTTTACAACCCAAACCATTCCAGGACTCCACAATATGCTCAAAAGCTGGTTTGGGGTTGGAGATAAAGAAGGGAAATAGTGTTTTTTATTTGTTCTAATTGAGTTGTACATTTATCTATTTCCCTCTTGCATTTCCAGGATGTAGAAAGCCAGAGGGAACTTGAGGAGATGCGCTCGGTCTGGGAGGAATAATTTTGGCAAAACTCATCCCATTGCAGAGACAGTAAAATTCCAAATGGATTTCACAATCCTGATAATTCCAAGTACACTTCAAGGATAAACAGCAAGAGCTTACAGGAAAAGACCCAGCAGCACATCCAGGAAAACATCTTGGAATTAATGGGATAAAATCGTGGTTTATTTTCCTTTGCAGAGCACTGCATGTGTTTGATTTTAGGATCCCTAAAAATGTTACATTCCTGAAAAACGGGGGGGAGTATGGGGGTTTATAGGTAGAAGTTGTGATATAAAAATATTTGTGGTTTTATATATATATATTTATGGCAGATATATGTGAGGTAGATACTTTGTGATATAAGTATGTATTATATATATTTTATATATGTGTGTATAAATATATATATATATATATATTTATTTATATATAATATATATATATGCACATATATATTTTATATCACACACTCTGCCTATTGGGAAGCCTTGCTGGTGAGCTCCCAATTCATTTCTGAGGAAAACTTAAGCCAAATTTTTTTCTAGTTTATTTGTATTCTCTTTTCTGTAGTAATTAATGATATCAGTTGTAATAACTGATAAAAGCCTTTTGTGGATGTTTTGGGGAGATCAGTTTCCAAGTGGGACCAAAGAACATTTCTGCACAATCCAGACTGGATTTTAAGAGGTTCGTTAGTGAAAGAAGCGAGGAATAGAATTTTGTTTAGGATTTTGAATTTAGGGTTTTCTCCCAGTGATGTTTCTGTCTTCCCTCACATGAGGCTGAAAACTTCTGTCCCTCCAAACCGTGCTGCTGTGGTTTAGATGGAATTACTGAGTTGGGGAAGTAGTTCTTGATCAGAGAACAGGTTACAGGAGCGGGAATATCCTGTGGCAAAGATGATGTTTCACTGTGATGATCTTCTGCCACTGACCAGATTCATTCTCTTCGAATTAATTATCTCCTGGACTAACGAGGTGATGCTGAGAAGGTGAAGCCAACAACTGACATTCCTCTTGCAGCTCCTGGGGACCAAACAGGAACAGGGAACTGTGCTGGATGCTGACACAGATGGGGAAGGAAAACGTCTTGTGGAATTCCCCACATCAAGGCTTTGTTCATATCCCTTAAAATTCCAATGGCAGCTACTGAACACTAATTCCTGAGTGTCTGTTTCATGCTGGGGGGGTTGTGAGGGGTTAAGTGAGGAATGTGAGAGTAAAACATTCCTGAAATCACTTTTTTTTTCCTTTGCACTGTGATGAGTTTGTTACTTCCTGAAAATAACACAATGCAGCAGACTCCAGCATTAAAACTTCCTGAATTTCGGGTCTGGATGCTGCAGGGCTGGGTGACAGCCTCGGGCACAGGCCTGGGGGAGGTGTGGGAGGGTTTGGAGCAATGGGAGGAACTGGATGGAGCGATGGGCCTGTGCTCCTGCCAGCAGGGCTGGGCTTTGGCTCCTTGTCAGGAATGTGGTGGCAGCCCCGGGGGGAGAGGCTGGAGGTGAGACCTGGGGCAGTGTCTGGGACTGATCCAGGGCAGGGCAGGGTTTACCTGTGGGGGGGTTGGCCCCACACGCTGAGTTCAAGCAGGATCAGGGTGACAGATGCTGCATTTTGTACATCCTGAGAGTTTCTGTCCCCCCTGGAGATTTTCTGCCGGGATGGGGCAGCGCAGGGAGCAGAATTAAACTTGCACCTCCCGTGGGCATTGCTGGCCTTTGTCTCTCTGTTGTGCCATCAGACCGTGGGAATTTGCTGCTGTCACTGCCACTGCCACCCCACCTGGGGCTGCATCCTCCTGGCAGCCCTTGTCAGCCCCACACACGAGCTCCAGTGGTGCCTCTGTGCCGTGTTGGGAGTGTTTGCTGGGAATGTGCCTCACCCCTAGGAAGTATCCTTTTGTTCCAGAGCAGATAGACACAGCTTTTGGGCTTGTCAGCTTCAGAGTTGGATTGCAGAAGTCCCTGGAGAGAAGAATGACAGTGAAGTTTGCCCAAGTGGTGCTTTCAGACCCCACCTGACAGTGTTTGCTTTGTGTTGGAAGTCGCTGTGCATTTGCACTGCAGGGAATGAATGTCCCCATCCCAGTTCAGCCCAGCACATCCCAAAGGCTCTTACGGGAATATTTATCCTTTCCTTCCCTTTGTGATAATCTCCATCCCACCATGAGCCTTTCCTTGACTTCTCCTGGAGCAAACCCCATGGCAGAGGCAGTTTGCAAAGGAGCCCAGAGCTGTGTTTGGAGCAGGGAGAGCTGAGAGCTGCATCTGCCTGTGATGCCTCAGCCTGGCAGCACCCACATGGAACAGCCTGGGCAGAGGGGATCAGATGGAGCAAAATCCCTTCATGGAAGAGATTTTCTCCTGTGCAGATCAGGCATGGGGCAGGCAGTGAACTTTGGAAATCAGCTGATTTCCCCCAGGAAGCATCACTCACATCAGCATGAATGACATGACACATGTCCACCTGCTCAGGATTCACCCAGCCAAAATCAAAATGGGTCTGAGAACTTGAAATAACGTGGAAGGAGAAGAAATTATCTCTCCTCTCCCCTCCCCTTTCCCCTTCCCTTTCCCCTTCCCTCCCCTTTCTCCTTCCTTTCCTCTTACCTTTTTCTTCCTTCTTCCCTCCCTCCCTACCTGGCTGTGAGTTTGTGTTCTCACTGGGAAACTGGAAATAACTATTAATTAATTGCAGAAATGTTTTCTGAAACCTTTCCCCTTTGCTGGTAGATCTTCTCTTTCTGCCTTTGAATTTACAGCTGTTCCCTGCTGTCATTTGCCCTGCCTGAACTCCTTGCAGCTCCTAACTGGGATAACTTAGAGGGGACAGAGGTGAAATTTTTAGCTGAAAACCTGGAGTAATTGAGAGGGGTCACAAGAACTGTTTGTGTAAGAAGATATGAGGGGATGTCCAGGGGAGTGAGGTGGCATTTTTGAAGGGAAAGCTGAGGTGATGTTTAGGGGAGAGAGTGCCCATTTTTGGGGTAGAAAAAGAGTTAATCAATATTGTACAGGAAAGAGAATCCTGGGGGTAAAACTCAATGTAATCTGTAGGGGACAGAATTAATATTTTGGAGTACAGATGAGGTACTCAGTAGTAGAGAAGTAAGGAAAATTTTTGAGGCAAAACTTGACAAAATCTCAAGAGTAGAGAATGAACACACTGAGGAAAAAATGAGGTGATGAGCAGAGGGTGTGTAGGGAAAATTTGGGAGCTAAATCTGTGTTAATGGATCAGGTTCACAGTTTTTCTTCTATGTTTTTCAACTATTTCAAAATTCTTGGAATTAACCCTCGAATATGCCCAAGAAAATTCCTGTGAAAACATCAATCAGAGGAACATCCTGAAAAGGGGAAACACCTCCAGCAGCAGCTGGAATGATCCCATTTCTGTTCTTACCTGGTCTCCAGGTGCTCGTGCCAGAGTTCCCACCAGCCATTGCCATTCCTGAACAAGAGCTGTGGAAGACATTTGTGCTGTCCATGAGGATGAGGAGGCAGTTTTGGATGTTCTTTGCTGTGGAATCAGACAACAGAGTGTAAATGATCTTCGTGGTTCCTTCCAAGCCAAACCAGCTCATGATTCCATGGTTGTGAACAGCCCCTATCACAATTCCATTCCAGAAACATCCTCCCACTAACCCAGAATTTCCCCCCATCTCTTTTTGCTCCCCATCAGGGCTCTGTTGCCGAGTGCCACAGGCACAGGGTGCCTCAGCATTCCCTGGGGATGCCATTCAAGACTGAACTTGTGGCCTCAGAGCTCTGAAATGACCTCTCAGCTTCAATTCCAGTCAGGAATGTCTCAAATGCCACCCCCTACCCCTCTTTCTTCTCCCTCACACCCCACCACTGGGACAGTTAAGATAGAATGACTGACTTACTGGATCTGGAATTCCTGGCTCAAAAGGCAGGTGTTGGATACCAGGAGGGGTCCCTGGAAGCCAGGCAGAGTCAGATGAACAATCCTGAACAGGTTTTCAGGGGATGCATCCCCAGCCTGTGGCTGCAAAGTCTCCAGAGCTGTTCTTTCCCCTTGGGACAGCCAGGGAAAACATCCCCGTCATGGATTTCTGACAGGAAAAGCCTCACAGCTCCAGGATATTCTGCTCCTCCCAAATCCAGGCCAGCACTCCAGCAGGCTCTAAGGAATAAACAACAGGAAAGGCCATCTCAGGGTGCACACCACAAGCTGAGCACCGCACTCCTCACTGGAACTGGACTGTTCCCACATCTCTGACAGTTGGGAGCATCCTCATTTCCTCACTCTTCCATTCAGGAGAAAGAGAGAACAGAGCCCTTAAACACCCAGTGTGCAATCCCAACAATCCAGGGAAAACCACCTCACTCAGGCAAGAAATGTAACTCCCACTTTTGGAAAAAAAACAAATAGCAGAACTGGAAACATTTCCAGGCATGGAGCCTCCCAGCTCTGGAAATGCAGCTCCCAGGCTTCTTCCCATGGAGACCCCAAACTTGCCCCTGACTGTGCTCAAGGAGAAAACCCTGCTAGCCTGGGACAGAGCAAATTCCATGCACAGCCCAGGAAGGTGTCCCTGACCATGCCAGGGGGTGGGAACAGGATGATCTGTAAGGTTCCTTCCAACCCAGACCCTTCCAGGAATTTAAGGCAGATCTTAAACTTCTCAGCTCACAGCTCCTTCCCAAGCCTCATCCTCTGGGCTGCCTTTCCCAGACCTCGCTGGGAAGGGAAGCAGGGGCTCCTCTCCCCAAACACACCACTGCAAATTGCTGTTCCCTGCCCAAAACCACTGGGTGACACCAGAGGTTGATCCATTGCCTTGGCTGTTTTCCATAATCCAGCATTTCAGGGACTCCAGAGTCAGTCAGAATCAGTCCCAGGTTCCAGGCACTGGCACAAAGCACCTGCTGTGCTGGAAGGGGCAATTTTAGAGGCTCCCCTCCCCTTAGCTGGGAATTCAGTGCTGGAAAGGGCCTGGCAGTGATTGTGGATTTATCTGTTCCTCTGGATTAAGCCCCAGCACTCACTACCAAGTGCTGCTGGAGCATCTCTCCACAAAAAACTCTGCCCAGTCCAGAGGGTCCTCAGTGGGGTCCCTGCCCAGTTTCCCAGGATGGGAAGCTGTTACTGACAGGCTGGAGAACTTCAGTAATTTGCTGGAAGCTTCTAAAAGAGGGTCTTCTTTCCAAGTGTAAGGTAGCTCAAATCCAATGGCCAGCCAGGATTCCTAATAAGGTGCTGCATAAATGTGTCTGTGTAGGGGAATCTTCTTTTAAGGTGATTTCAGGGAACAGCTGCCTGGGATTTTAGTTAAATTTCATGTAAATGTAAAATTTACATTAGCCTGTGACAAGTCAGACAGAAAAAATTACCCAGAAGCTCAAGGTTGACTAAGTGACAGTTCCTTGGAAGGCAGTGTCTCCTACCTGGACCTGTGCCTTGCCCAGCCTTTGGTGGCCGCTGTCTCCATCCTCCCACACCTCCTCATCCTCCTCCTCACCAGGGTTGGCTTCCTCATCCTGCAGAGCAAACACAGGGACATCACCAGCCTGCTCATCCCAAACCTGGGCAGCAGGGATGGACTGGTGGGACCCTCTGGATGGTCACCCCTGTGCCCGGTACCATCCCTGCTCCGCAGCCCATTCCTGTTCCTGGCTTGGCATCTCCTTTTAACGGGATGTTAAACCACAAGCGTTTGCTCTGCTGGGTTTTGGGACATCAGAGACTCCCCTGAGGCACTGGGCAAAGCTCCTGTTCCCACGTCCTCTGCCTCCCAGAGCCCTGCTGGGGCTGGACAGAGCAAAGGAAACGTCTCAGTTCCTGCTGGAAATTTCCTCCTGTGCCCATAAACCCACAGAAACTGTGGCTGCTCCATCCCTGGAAGTGTCCAAGGCCAGGCTGGACAGGACTTGGAGCACCCTGGAATAGTGGAAGGTGTCCTGGACTGAACTCAGCAGTTCCTGGGGTTTCCTGTGGCTGTGCTCATATTGCTGTGGCCTGAACGTTTTGAACACTGACTGGTTCCTGCCCAAATTACAAAAATCAGCATTTTCAGTCACATTCCATTTATTCCCCTTTCCCATTGTTATTTCTGTGACATTCATTATTGTTGCAACAAGAGAAATAAACAGGAGTGGAAATTTGAGAAACAAAGGACAAAATATGGTTTTTGTGGCACATTTTTTCTCGAGAAATCAATTCTAATTTTTAAAATAGGACTTCAGTTTCAAAGGGAGCAAGATAGAAACTCACTTGG